TCGCCTCGGCCGCGACTTACCGTTCGATCGGCCTAGCCCATACTTGGGTCGATCGTTCGGTTCGTCCGGCGGTGCGATAGTTTAACCATACGCCTCTACTTAATAAAACGCACCTTAGAAATTCCGCGGTCGATTACTCTGGCCGCGTTCCTTTCCTTCTTCTCTCTTCCGCGACCCTCACCAGCCGCTCCGGTCGATTTCCTCACCGCCGGTCAAGTTATTCCCTCTCTCGGATTGCCTTAGTCGCACGATTTGGTGAAATTTGGGCAGAGTTTCTCTCTCTGTCTGTGCGTGTCCAAAAATATGGCCCAAGGGGGTCTATTTATAGACTTTCCCTTGCGGTAACCGTTTTGGGCGAACAGGCGCGAGTTGTTGGCCGAACAGGTGCATTGATTGGGTGCATAGGCTTTGCACCCCTTCGGCCATAACCGCCTATAACCACCCCAGTCCAGCTAGTTCACTGACCACTCAGCTAGACCAACTGTCCTACTATCGATCCAGCTGATCTGATCTTCCCGGCAGCTGATCCAGCTAGCTTAGCTTACCCCTTCCAGCTCGTCTTAGCTCAATCCTACTCGTTGAGCTATTTTCACTCCTTTTTCCCGGCTAAGTCCCACTTAACTAGACTTAACCATCATTTCGGACCATGGCTTGTGTGTTCCTTAGACTCTCGGTCTTTATTCTCCTTCTCACGGCCATGGTCCGTCCCGGCGATCCTATTGCGGATCGGGGACGTTACAAGTCTCCCCCCCTTGAAAGGGATTCGTCCTCGAATCCGGGTTAAGGGGTAGAACCTTGTTCCATTCTGTGAACCACTCGGGATAATCAGCCATCATCCGATATTCCGTTTCCCATGTTTCTTCTTCCACACCGTTACTTTCCCAAACGACTTTGACCATCGGGATCATCTTTTTCGTTGTTGCTTTTTCCATCTTGTCGATGATCCGGACCGGTCTTGTTTCCACAGTCAGATTCCCTTTAAGGTTTGAAGGAATCTCGGTCAGGACTTTATCTTGATCTGTTAAGCACTTCCTTAGTTGGGATACATGGAAAACATTGTGGAATGCTTCCATAGCCGGTGGTAAATCCAACTTGTATGCGACTGCCCCAACCCTTTCTATAATTCGGAATGGTCCTAGGTACCTTGGATCAAGCTTTCCCCTCTTGGAAGTCCGTGCCCTTCCTTTGAACGTGATCATCTTCAGATAGACCAGGTCGCCCACCGCAAACTCAAGGTCTTTCCGATGCTTGTCCGCATAGCTTTTCTGTCTGTCTTGGGCTTCCTTCATTTTTATCTTTAGGAACTTGATTCTTTCCGTGGTTTCCTCCACAATAGCCGGTCCAATTGTACTCCGTTCTCCCACTTGGGTCCAACACAGTGATGTTCGGCACGGCCGTCCATATAAGGCTTCATACGGCGACATCCCAATGCTGGCATGGAAACTGTTGTTGTAGGCGAATTCGGCTAAGGGTAATTACTTCTCCCATCACCCGCCCCAATCCAGAACACAAGCCCGTAACATGTCTTCAAGAATTTGTATGGTCCGTTCTGACTGTCTGTCTGTCTGCGGATGATAAGCCGTACTCATGTTCACTCTTGTCCCTAAGGCCTTTTGAAAAGCCCTCTAGAAGAAAGATGTGAACCGCGAATCCCGGTCTGAGACTATGCTTGCCGGAGCACCATGCAACCGCACTATCTAATCCAGATACCTGACCACAATCTGCTCAACACCATCCGTCTTTTTAATTGCAATGAAGTGAGCGGACTTAGTTAATCGATCCACCACAACCCAGACCGCATCACGTCCGGTCCTTGTTCGGGGAAAACCAGTCACGAAATCCATCGTTACATGGTCCCATTTCCACTCCGGAATGGGTAAACTCTGTAGCAACCCACTCGGGACTTGATGTTCCGCCTTTACCAGTTGACAAGTAGGACATCTTGCCACCCACTCAGCCACGTCCCTTTTCATCCCGACCCAATGATAATACCGTTTCAGATCCTGGTACATCTTGTTAAGCCCAGGATGAATTGAGAACTTAGACTGATGCGCCTCCCTAAGGATTTCTTCCTTTAACTCCTTCACTTCTGGAACACATACTCGGCCATTAACCACAATGGTGCCATTGTTTGAGGTTTGGTACTCCGTCTTCCCGTTCTGCATTGCCTTACACAAGACCTCATCTTTTCCTTGTGCAATCCGAATCCGGGTAAGCAGGTCAGCTTGATCTGCCGCCCCTAAGCCCAACGGTTCCGGTTCGGTGGACAAGGCATTAAGTCGCAATGTCCCAATCATGTTTACTAGCATCTCCGCTTCTTTTCCCGCAGCCACTTCGGACCGTCTTCTGCTTAGAGCATCCGCGACCAAGTTAGCTTTACCAGGATGATAAGCTATATCTAAGTCGTAATCCGCCACAAGTTCCATCCACCGCCTTTGCCTTAGGTTTAATTCTGGCTGCGTGAAGATGTACTTCAGGCTCTTATGGTCAGTGTAGATTTGCACTTTGGCTCCATAGAGGTAAGATCGCCATATCTTAAGTGCGAAGACTACTGCCGCCATTTCCAAGTCATGGGTTGGGTGATTCCCTTCCCTGCATATAAGCTATTATAAGAGTACATGATCCTATCTATCTTTTTCAATACACCACTCATCCGCTTGGCTAACAGGTCCGCGCGCCTAGGCCAAATCCCTTCTTGGATCGCCATCCTTTCCTGAAAGGTCAATAGTATAAGTCTATGAAATTTTGGCTAAGTATATGCATGCACATGAATGCATTTCATGCCTATGATTCCCGACCCGAATTTGACCCACGATGACTATTCTAATCCAGATCATGGATCAGCCTTGGACAGGCCGAGTCTTGGCGAGATCCGTTTAGACTCCCAAGCCGCTCAACCGTCGCGCCAACCAGATCCGGTCCATATCCGTACGACCAATCGCGCATCATCGCCGGTCCAATCTCAATTCCATGTCCGGCGACTTTTATAATTAATCCAACCAAGGCTCGCGATCGGACCGGCCTAGCCCATACTTTGGCCGATCGTCAGCACATTCGGTGGATTCTTATCGCCTCGGCCGCGACTTACCGTTCGATCGGCCTAGCCCATACTTGGGTCGATCGTTCGGTTCGTCTGGCGGTGCGATAGTTTAACCATACGCCTCTACTTAATAAAACGCACCTTAGAAATTCCGCGGTCGATTACTCTGGCCGCGTTCCTTTCCTTCTTCTCTCTTCCGCAACCCGCACCAGCCACTCCGGTCGATTTCCTCACCGCCAGTCAAGTTATTCCCTCTCTCGGATTGCCTTAGTCGCACGATTTGGTGAAATTTGGGCAGAGTTTCTCTCTTTGTCTGTGCGTGTCCGAAAATATGGCCCAAGGGGGTCTATTTATAGACTTTCCCTTGCGGTAACCGTTTTGGGCGAACAGGCGCGAGTTGTTGGTCGAACAGGTGCATTGATTGGGTGCATAGGCTTTGCACCCCTTCGGCCATAACCGCCTATAACCACCCCAGTCCAGCTAGTTCACTGACCACTCAGCTAGACCAACTGTCCTACTATCGATCCAGCTGAGCTGAGCTTCCCGGCAGCTGATCCAGCTAGCTTAGCTTACCCCTTCCAGCTCGTCTTAGCTCAATCCTACTCGTTGAGCTATTTTCACTCCTTTTTCCCGGCTAAGTCCCACTTAACTAGACTTAACCATCATTCCGGACCATGGCTTGTGTGTTCCTTAGACTCTTGGTCTTTATTCTCCTTCTCACGGCCATGGTCCGTCCCGGCGATCCTATTGCGGATCGGGGACGTTACACGTATACACATACCTCTTTTAACCCTACAATTTTTAGCTGTTTTAGCTCGCTACTTAGGAACATCGCCACTTCGGCACATTCTCAGCTCATTTCGAATCTCATTTTGGATTTCTAGTTTGTTCATTATCGCTTCGGCTAGTGTCTCATTCTTTCTAAATCAGCAACTTATTTTAACAAGCTCGCATTTTTAAATACTTTCACTTATCACTTTGGCGAGTAATCATACCACTTCGGCATGATATCATGACCTGATTACCTCGGACCTTTGTTGGTCCTCAGTTTCAGTTCGGCAAACTAAGCCTCCGAACGCATCGTCTCGTTGCTGGCCACAACGGGGCAACAAATACAAAGTTCCCTAAACGGACTTTAACCACCTTTCCTAGGACGAGGGTGCAAGTTACATCCTCTATGGATAACAATGAAGCGTGCTATACAAATATCAGACCGAAAACGTATCAGGTCACCACGGTTTACTATCGCACACGAGAATATAAGTCGAGACTACATCGCTTTCTCTAAACCGAAGTAAACTCTTAAAACCCGGATAAACATACTCATCCTCTCGGAAACACTGGTCCATTAGTCAGGATCGATAACACTTCATCCTTGGCTAACCAAAGCGAAAACGCCTCGTCGTTTACACGGCTCGGCACCACGCAAAGAGAAAATGCCCCGTCGTTTACACGGCTCGGCACCACGCAAAGCGAAAACGCCTCGTCGTTTACACGGCTCGGCACCATGCACGGCGAAAACGCCTCGTCGTTAAAAACGGCTCGGCGTTGCTACGAAAATTTGCCGAAACATTATCACTTAAAATCTTTCCAGCATCACCTAAAGGATATTCCACAAAACTAACTCCCAGCTCGGGATTAAGAATACAAACGAGACCCTTAAACAACTCAACCCTTAGCCCGTCTTTCTATCGATTTCGAAGAATTCGGTTAAGGAAGCCAATCAAAATCATTCTCGACAATCTTCTCTAAGCCATTGGTTTTCACAGATATATTCACAAGTCATTAAAAATAAGTGCATCCAAACAAAAAACAGCTAAAGGAGAAAATATATCCATAAGCAAAAATGAATGTCGGGTGCATAAAGCCGTCCAGGCATCGGTTACAAAAAGAGTTCAAAAACGTACAAAAAACCTAAGTACAAAAGCATGAAAGATGAAACAGGGGAAAGCAGAGGGTATCAAGCCGCGGACTGCGTCTCACGTTCGGCGAGGAGGTTCGAGAGGACTGGCGTGCCCGCGTTTGATCCGTTCGGATCTACCACGCCTAAGTTGGCCGTTGTCTCTTCGAGCGACTCGTTGCCGAGGGTGGTGTCGACCGAGTCCGGCGATATGGGAGAGTAATACAGCTCGCCCCGAATCTCGGAAGCAATACGCTCGTACGCCTCGTCGTCGGCATACTTACTCTCCCAGCTTTTCAGCTTCGCCTCCTCGTCGTCAAGCGTCAGGGCGTACGGCTTCTTCAGGTCGGCAATCATCGCAAGATTGCCCTTGATCTGTCCCAGATCGTTCTCATCATTTTTGGCCTTCTTGAGCTTGACCAAACCCTCCTCCACCTTGGCGAGGCGTTCCTGAAACTTCGCCGTCAGCTCGCGCCTCGCCTCCTTCTTCGCGCGTTTGACCTTGGCTTCGAACAGCGCATCCTTGGCCTCGATACGCCTTTTAAGCAACGCCACCTTGGCGCTTTTGGCTCTCCTTGCTACCTCCAGGCGAATCACCGAGGCGGAAACTTTGTTGACGTCTGCTCGAAGAACTATCTTCTCCTCTTCCAACCTCGACACTCGGGTCATCGCCTCGGTGAGTTTCCCCTTCGCTGCCGCGGCTTCGTTTTGCGCCTCTTCCAGCTTCACCTTTGACGCTGCGGTCTCATTTCGGGCCCCGTCCAAGCGACGTTCGACCTTAGACAGGTCCGCCTCATACTCGGCCATCATGTCGTTAATGGCCGCGACAAACTGCAAAGAACAAACTCGCGTTAAACACTTAGCAAAAGTTTACGAAAATAAAGGACAGCGAATAGAAACGTACCTTGGTACCACGCTGCGCCATCGCGCCATATGACCTTGGCCTCCTCAGCTTCTCCGGAGGAGGAAGACGCGTGTTCGCGTTATTTACACGCGAGAACGTGACGGCAGAAGCGTCGGGGTCGTCAACAACCAATTTACGCGCGGCGGGGTCCCCGGGCGTCGGTTTCCGCCTCTTCTTGGATGGCTCGTCCTTCTGGACGGCGACCCCTTTCCCCTTGTCAGTAGCCGCACGTTTTCGGCTAGAGTCATGCTTCTGGACGACCGAAGTCGGTGGCCTCATTGACTTCTGGAGGGCCAGGATGGCGGATTGCGAAGGAGTCTTACTCCGCGCCGCCAAGCCGTCCCCAGACACCTCGGGCACTACGTGTTTCTCAGCCGCCTCGGCAGTGTCGCCTTCTGCGGCTCGGATCATCACATCCCCTTCCCAGCTCGGAGGGTCGGGTTGAAGGACGGCCTCGGTTTGCGCTGATACCGCCTCGGCTAGCGCCGGAACCGCCTCGGTTTGCTCTTCCTCGCGTCTCTTCCTTTCTCTAAGGGCGATCACCACCATCTTCTCCCGGGTACCTCTCGAAGAACTTGAGGACGAAGAACTGACGGGGACTCCGGCAAGGATGGCTCGCACTTTTTCTACTCTTTCGAGGGTGAAGTTTTTTCTCCAATTAACCTTCCACACCAAAAGAGAGTCTCGAACAGTAAAGACGTCGTCGGGAATCGGGGGAAGATAGCACCGAACTGCAAAACAAAGCAAAAAAGCAAAAGTTTCAGAAAAGGAAGAGAATATCAACTGAATCTCCGAGCCGAGGCAAAGCTTCGGGTCGGCTACCAAGTGGTACCCAAGCAGTCTTGGTTCGGTGAACGTAATCTTCGCCGACCGACGCATCGTTCACCAAGACGTAGAAGAAGCGTTCAGTCCAAAACTGATCCTTGCTGGAAAAACCGCCAATAATCCGTCGCTTCGCCTTGTTGGAAATATAGAACCTATTTCCTTTCGGAGCTTTCCTGATTTCCAGCAAGTTCAGCAGGGGATTCAGCTCGATGTCAAGACCGCATTCGAAGCTTCGGACTAAAATGCCGATCATATGCCGTAATCCCCTCGGCATAATCTGCCCAATCGAGATCCCGTGTTTCCAAAAGTATTCGAGGATCACTCCGGGGATCGGGAACCAGAGAAAGCAAAGCTCGAAGAACGCCTCGTATAGAGTGAAGTGATTCTCCAGAGGCTTGTCGGCTCGGTCGATATTCTCGGGAACGACAAACTCCACCGCCTCGGATATCCCGAAGCGATGCCTCAACGCCTCGAGTGACTCAAGGGAAGAAAGCGTAAAGCCAGGCGGATCAGGAACCGGGTCCTGGGGACGGCTCGTCGATGCCAACGGCTCGTCATCTGCAGAACCCTCGTTTCATGGATTCGCGTCATTCGACGCCTCGGAGGATTCTGTTGAACTTCTCGCCTCGGCATCTACGCGGCTCGGCTCGTAATGAAAAAGCGAGTCCAACGAATCGTCGGAGCGGCTCGACATGATTTACAAGTTATACAAGAATTACAGAAGGACTCGGCGAACCTCTGCCAGAAAAAGATCTGGGACGGCGGAGACCTCGGAAACCCTAGCCGGAAAATAAATAAACTAGAGAGAGAAAGAAGAGAGAAGGGAGAGCTACCTTTAGTGAAAACGAGTGAGTCTGGAGATAATGAGGAAGAGTGAAGGAGCTCACCTATTTATAGAAAAAAAACGAAGCGCGTGAATTCCGCGTAAACCTCGGGAAGCCGTCCAACAGCGCGTGGGATCCGCGGTGAACTGGCTATACCGGACTGCGTCGTTGGCACGCGCCGAAAGATCAGGAATTTCCTCTTGGAAGACCAACAGTCAGGGTACCCAGGTTAACGAAACGGCTTGGTATTGACTCTTTCCCTCTTGAAACGCCTCGTCGTTAACGAAACGGCTCGGCATTGAATATGTTCTTCTGAAACACCTCGTCGTTAACAAAACGGCTCGGTATTGACTCTTTCTCTCTTGAATCGCCTCGTCGTTAACGAAACGGCTCGGTATTGAATCTGTTCTCTTGAAACGCCTCGTCGTTAACGAAACGGCTCGGCGTTGAATCTGTTTCTTGAAACGCCTCGTCGTTAACGAAACGGCTCGGCATTGACATTCTTTCTTGAGACGTCTTGTCGCTAACAAAACAGCTCGGCACGAGCTTTCTCTCGAAACGCCTCGCCATTTGTTCGGCTCGGCATAACCTCCTCAAATCACCTCGTCATGGGCTATCACTATTAAAAAAAAAATCGCCTCGTCCTTAATCTTGCCTCGGCATCTTTGGTACCATCTCGAACACCTCGGCATCCTCGGCACTCCTTGGGAACGCCTCGGCGTCTTCATTCCCAAAACGCCTCGGCGCCTTCATTCCCAGAACACCTCGGCGTCTTCATCCCCAAAACGCCTCGGCGTCTAACTCAGTGGTTTATCCTACGGTCGGAAATAATGGACCTCGTCACTCTCGCCTCCGAAACTGACGAGCTGGGGGGCTAACTGTTGGGGTCGGTTTTCACCCCAAGTAGATAAACCACCTCAGAATGGCTAAGTATGGAAGAAAGATAAGTGGGAGAGCCGTGGTCGCCAAGTGGGAGAGCCGTGGTCGCCAAGTGGGAGAGCCGTGGTCGCCAAGTGGGAGAGCCGTTCTCACCATGACAAGTGGAGAGCCGTTCTCACCAAGACAAATGGGAGAGCCGTGCAGATAGGCCAGTAGGGAGAGCCGTGAAAGAAGACAGGTGGACCGAGCCGCATCGAAAGAAATGGGTCGAGCCCCACTTCAACAAGTTTGGGCCGAGCCGTGTATCGGTGCGGTGGGCTAGATCATGTCTCCATGGCAAGTGGGCCGAGCCGTGAAGAAGGCTAGATGGGCCGAGCCGTAAAGAAGCTTGGACGGGCCGAACCAAAGCCTTGAGAGATGAAGACCATGGAAAACCCTAGGCGAGATGCAAAGGCGGTCAGCCGCACGAGGCGATAAGGAAATATTCCAAAAATCTCGCCCGAGATTTTCGGCTAGGCGGTTTAGAAAGTTAGTATAAATATATGATGTATGCAATTCCTTCCGCCAACTTTTTGCAACCCTAAGCAATAAGAGCTAAACACTTTTACAGCAAGAAAAACTTTCTTTCGATCTTACTGTTTTGGCATAAACCCTAGAAGTTTCCGATCCCTTAATCTTTCCTTAGACAAATTTCTGGTTGTGCGAGTTTTGGCTCTCACACTCAGATATATATTAACTCAGCAAGGAATCTCCACAAGTTCTTCTTTCTCTCAACTCTTTCACATTCGTTAAGCTTTTATCAGGTGACTCTCATGATGCAATGTTTAAACAAGCTGGCTTGGCTAGGGAGAGGCTATGAGATTAAAATGATCTCATCAGTGTTCAAGCGGGTTTAATGCGGCAAAGGGATCTCTCTATGAATGATCAAACTTTGGCAGAATGCTAAAGGTAAAAAGCAACCTATGCATACAAGGGCAAAGACTCATCACACCCCACCCTTTACTCAAAGCTTTCTCACTTGCTCACTCTCTCAAGAACCTCACTTTTCACACTTATTTTCCTCTCACTAGGGTACTTACTTTTCACTTTCACTCTCAAGTCTTCGAGTTCAAACTTTACACAGCTCTTTTTCTTTTGCAACCTCTAGCCTCTTCTTTCTTTCTTTTCAAAACATTTGAGCTCTTTGGCTTCTTTTCTTTCCCTTTTTACTTAGAGGCTAGACTCTTTCTTTTCAACACACCAGAGCTCACTTTCTTTAACTCAAAACTCCAAGACTGATTTCTTTTTCTTTCATTCCCCTAGCTATTTCCACTCTCTCTTTTCCACTCATCTCACCTTTTTCCACTCACCAACAAGTCTTTTCCCCCACACTTATTCCTCGCCAAAACTCTCAGTTCCTTGATGTTGAAACACAACACTCAATGAGACCTGCCCTTGTCGCTCTAAACCTAACACTTTCTACTAAGTTTGATCCAAGGTGGCCTTTCTATTCACACACAAACATTGGCTTGAAAGAAGGATGGGTTCAAGGTGAGGGAACTGATCTATGATGCGGATTCAGCTACTTGAGCTAAGGAAAAAGGGCGGTAAAAACAATGGTTCTAGCTCAAGTATGTATGTCGGTATCCACAAGCTTTTTCAAACAATGCATCACAAGATATTTTCAAGTCAAGTTCAAGGTTCTCACTTAATTAGAGTTGAGTTCAATTCAAACTTGCTTCTCAGATTCAGATCATTTCAGACTTTGCAAGCACAGAAAAAGATTCACAAGCATATTCAGTTCAAGTTCTCAAAGTGATGTACTCTCTAGAAAACCTATCATTCCTCCCTGCAAGATGCAACCTACATAAATATGCAATCTAGACTCAATCCTAAAAATGAGAATGCAACTACACGATCATTTTTTGTGAAAATTTTTCTGATTTTTCCATTTTTTTGGTTTTTATATGCACTTAGATGAGACTACATGAATATGCAACTAGAATGTGACTCAAGACTCAAAGTGTAAAATAAGAACAGAGAAAACATGATTAGTAAAAGATGAAACTCCTCCCCCACACTTAAATAACACAGTCCCTTGTGTTATAAAAGCATGAGAAAGAAGTGAAAACAAAACAAACAAGTAAAATGCAAAAAGAAAAAGAAAATCTACATGCATATTTACAAGGTTTAGAGTGTTACCTAAGAGCTGTGGAAGTCTGACCCCAATGAGTAAGAGGGGTTTGAAGTGTGACCGGATGGTGTCTCCCAAGAGTGATGGCTTGCCTCATCAGAACCGTCGTCAAGATCCACCCATGTTGTCCCATATGTGACCAGGGCTGTGCAGTTCATGGAACTCTCTCAAACTTCCTCTCTGTTCCTTGGTGAAACTGGTGCTGGAGACCCACCTTTGCAAGGGTTTTCAAGCTTCTTGATCCTCTTCTTCATCTCCTTGATGCACTTGGCCATCTTTTGGACGGTTTTTTCTTGGTACTTGCACCATTGTTGGAGAATACCAATCTTTTGTTGAGCTCTGAACACTGAAGGGCCTGGTTCTTCCCAGTTGTAATCATCAAAGTGGTATTTGTTTCCACTAAAACGTTTTTGAGGTGGAGGCAGATCAGCATCTTGAGCACCAGCAGCACTTGTGGTAGCATCTTCAGCGGTTGCTTTCTTTCCCTTGGAGGCTTCTTCTCTGCAAGCTTGCTTGTATGTGAGGATTGGTGGATCAGTTTGGACATTGTACAGCTCTTCCTTCAGCAAGAAGAAGTGAATGTTCCTCTTTACTTGGACTGTGGTGATGGAGGGGTTTGGCAAGAGAGTTTGGGCTGGTTCATTAATGAGATTCTTGAAGTTGTAAACTACCTTGGCACCAACTCTTCCTTGGAGGAAACCGATCTTACACAAATGGGCTTCACTAATCAAGTCAAACCTTGCCTTGTTCTCCTTGAATCTGTATCCCTTGGCTTTCAAGATCTTTGTGACAATCCATCAATGGGTCAGCTTTGCATCCTGCTTTGTTGAACCCCAAATGCACTTTTTGTAGAACATCAAAGACCTTGCTAATTGAGAGGCAAGGCAAAGTGGGTAAGCATACCCTTCATAGGGCTCCCCATCTTCATGAGTTGGCATCAGCTGTTTCAGCCCCACACCAAGGAGCATCAGATCACCTTTGTGAACTCTTCCAACATCAATCTTGAAGTAGAAGATGTGAGAGAGAATCTTGTGTACATATCTCAGAACTGGATTCCTTATCCAAGAGGACTTAGAAGCAATTGATCTCCATAGAAGTTGAACTTCTTCTTTTCTGAGATTGACCTGGTTGGAGAGAGGAACATTTCTAGGTGTAGAAAACCCAAAAATCTCATTCAATTCTCTGAATGACACTGAATAGTCCTTTCCTTTCACAGTAAACTCCACATGTCCAAGCCCATCTCCTTGAAGAATTCTTGAATCCCTTGGGTAGTAAATGAAAGCTTTAAAGGAAGCCAAGAACTCTTGAGACTCCTCTTCATAAGTGATGTCTCTCATCTCCAAAAGTGACTCAATACCCATGTTCCCAAGCAAAGTTTTGACATCTTCATAGATGCCAATCTTCTTCAGAAAGTCTACATCAGGGAACCTTCCTTGCTGGACCTCTGTCTTTTGAAACTTAGCCAGATAATCAGGTGTTTCTGGTTCAGTTTTCTTGATCCTCTTTGATCCCTATTCAATGGTGCCTTGGGAACCACCAGCTGAGCTGCTTGAGTCACTTTCGGTCTGGTCACTCTCAGATACCACAGCCAAATGTTTCCCTTTCTTCCGGAACCAGAAGCAACCACCAAAGCTTTCCCTTCATGCCTTGTCCTTTTCGGCGCTGGATTACATTTTCCTTGCTTTGTGGTTTTCTTTGCTCCTTGACCTTTTTCTCTTGGCTGTGAAGACCCTGAGACCAAACCCTTGCCCTTGGATGCAGTGCTCTTCTTTTTGGCCAGAGAGTTGGTTCTTTCAGTCATCTGCCAAGAGATTCTCA